TACGATTTCCACGCACTGTGCCACACACATCTGTCATGTTCACTCGCAAGAAATCACTGAGTAAAGGGCTTGTGTACCAGTTGTCAGTATATAAAATATGCCCCTTACCAAGATATGGCTCCATCATTGTTCTAACCAAATTCAAATTCAAAGTTTATTCTCTATAAGGATTACAATGCTGAGTTTACAGAATTTGGTTATTGTGTGGTTTATATGTAGTAAAATACTAATTACAGAGGGGGCCACTAGAATACCTAGCATGGCTAGGCATTTCGGGCAGACTTTGATTAATTCTTAACTTTAAAATATTACAAATTATGTAACTTTCTGGTATCTTCCAATGTTTTACCGCCAGCGTACACAATTATATCCAAAACCAGACCAGTTTTGCAGTCACACAGAACAAATAACTTTATACCAAAGCATTTCCTCTTGCTTGGTATATACTGCTTGAATGAGAGTCTTCCTTTGAACAAAATCAAAGACTCATCAATAACAAGCTTCCTGAAGGGATAAAAATACATACAGCACTTTTGTTTCAGGTACATAAACACACATCTGAGCATATATAACCTGTCGCTTCTGTCAGGCCTTGTTTTGTCTGAAAAGTGTAACATACGTAACAGTAACACAAATCTATTCACTGGTATAATGTCACTGAAAGCAGGGGTTGAAGTCAGGCAGTCTGTCGTCCAGTATGTGTTGACACTGTGCTTATACACATGTGGCATAAGCATTATTGTGGCAAAGAACAGATACATCTCTGCCACAGTTGTCCTTCCACTGGTGTAGGCATGATCTTGGTGAAAGAAGTGTTTGCCATGGTGTACTCAAAGTATGTATTGCTTTCCCTGACAATAATGTCCATCAGGGGTTCATCGAAGAACAACTGAAAGCATTCCAGTTCAGTGGCATTGTTCCCAAGTGTACATGATGGCCGTATTCCACTTTGTCCTCCATCAAAGTCATGGGGACTGGGAACAAACTCGTCACCTTGCTGCCAATCCCAGATGTGGTCAGCTGGTGGGTTCTGGATATTGTAACGTGGTTGTGGTTGTTGTGGGAGTGTGGGGTCGGGTGAGGCTGGTTGTAGTTGTGCAGAGTCAGCAGCGTGGGTAGTAGCGTGGCCCGCTGCTGGTGTCACATGACTCGTGCCACCATCACTATCACCACCACCGCCTGCTGCCTCACTCGCATCATCGATACCCATCGTAACAATATCGTCATCTTCACTATCAGGTCGTGGTGTAGGGCCACAGGATGTGCTCCGAGATGTACTCCTTCCTCTTGGAAGAGCATATGGTACACTACCAGACTGCATGCGATGTCGTATATACTGCCGCTTCACTGGGGAATATTCACCCTCACTGTCACAACTAGAACTGCTTTCAATAACCTTGAAATCACTATCACTTACACTGCTCACATCTGAGTCTTGTACACGGGCAAATAGTTTCCTCTTTCGTCCTGGTACAGGTGAACATGAACGAGCCGGCCCAGCACCAGAGGTGGAAGGTTGTGGGTCATCTGGGTTTTCATCACTAATTACGTTATCCTGGGGACTTTTTTCGGTCACACCCCTTCAAAACCTGGGAATTCACTTTCACTGTTAGAGCTATCACTTGGGAACAAAAGACCTCCAATCCGCCGAGGAGTGAGGAACTTCTTACCGCGAGGCATGGTGAAAATGGACTACCAAGATGGCGTTCCACAATGCACCGCTGAGTCCCAGATTTTTTTCACAGGGTGCACACCCACCACTGAGACCCATTCTCTCTCATGTAGGCCTACCAGCCCTCTCCCGCTTGATTTGAAGCCGCTAGAATTTATGCGTATAGATACGTCAAACACGGTATCTCCCATGACGTATATATACGACCGCGACAGTCAAGGGGTTAATGGGATAGTTCTAATAACTGAATGAGCAGTTTTTTTGTGGATAGGGTGGAACACACAATAGCAAAATAGTCTGGAATTTGGTCAGTTAGAGCACTGGAATGGGCATAAAATAGGCCTCAAACTGGACAAAATCACTGTTGTATACAGTGCTCCCAAATCTCCAACTCAGTGCCTGCATAATTCTATAAGTATTCATAAATTTTGGAATTTTTGGTGTCACTACCTTCAGAAAAAGATTCCTAAAATTTTAAAAGAAACTATTTTTTCTATAAATGCTAACACAGAAGAGGCTTTTCAATTTGGAGGGGTTCTGACATATTAATTAAGGGATAACACCTGGTGACTGACTAAAGACACTTGGTGACTGATACGTGACACCTGGTGATTGATAAGTGACATCTGGTGGCTGACAACAAGTGATACCCGGTGACTGACAAGTGACATCTGGTGACCGACAACAAGTAACACCTGGTGACTGACAAGTGACACCTGGTGACTGGAGCAACAAGCAACCATGTTGGGGAGTAAATGTTTAACTAAATGATTCCTTTGCAAAATGAATATTAAATTAATGGAGTAGTGTTAAGATCACAGAAAATTTTGGTAGAGTAATATAATGATTTACAAGAGAAGGTAGTAAGCGTTACAATCTCTGGAAATTTTGGTAGAAATACTTTCAGTCTCTCACATAGATTTATGTCACAGAGGCCGGTGTTGTTTACATAGATCTACGTCTTGATCATAGCGCCCTCAAATATGCCGAAATCAGTAAATTTTGACCTATGCATGAGAGAATGGGTCTGTATGGTGGGTATGCACATTATATAAAAAAAATCCTGCCCCATACAGTGCATGATGGGAACAACTAATCTCTGGCTTATTAGCTTTTTTTTTTTGGAGTCATTCAATAGACTGGAATACTTACTGGTTAGTTTCAGGCTGAAAGAGGCCTAAAACAGGCCTTAAAGTAGCAAAAGAATATTCTATTTATGGCAATTACGCTGACAGAGGCCCTACTACCCCCCCCCCCCAAGTTTGTTTCACAAGTTTTACTATATCTTACTATTATTTTGGACGGTCTGTTTTCTTAGCTGAGAATTTGGATGAAACTTTGATTTTTATTATGAGGGATTCAAAACTGAGGATAATTCTGGGGATGTGATTAGGGAACAGAGGAAATGTTCTTTTAGTGGCTGGAATGTCTACAGTGTTTATTTTGAACAGTGCTTTTAACCCTTAACCCTTTCAAGTCCCATTCTGTAGTACTACAGCTTTGAGCTCATGGTCCATGTCGTTTTTACCTAATGAGCTCAGTTCACTCAGATAAACTGTGAGCAGTAAATTAGGGCCTAAATATAAGAGAATAGGTCTGTATCATGAGTGTGCACCATATAAAAAAAAACCCTGCCCCACACAGTGAATAATGGGACAAGCAAAACTGTAACTGTGTGTATGGTTTAAAATAGTGAATTTGACGAGTATTTTTGGATGGTTTTTGATTGGTTTCAGAATGAGAAGTAGCCTGAAATTAAGCTTAAAGTAGAGGAAATATTCGATTTTTGTCAATAATCCTGAGAACACTAATCACACCACTTGTTTAATACATATCCAACTGGCCCATCTAATACATGTTCACAAATGTGGTGACATTATTTATACAATTATTACAATAAAGCAGCCTGCATAACAGTAAATTTAAAATGGAAAGCTAACTTCAGAAGAATTAAAAAGAAAAAAAAAAATGAACACTGAGACCAATTTTAAGTTCATGGGTCTGGACAGTGAAAGGGTTAATAAGATGTTCATTCAAATTCAAATTCAAATTCAAAGTTTATTCTCTATAAGGATTACAATGCTGAGTTTACAGAATTTGGTTATTGTATTGTTTACATGTAGTAAAATAATAATTACAGAGTGTACCACTAGAACACCTAGCATGGCTAGGCATTTCGGGCAGACTTAAATTAAATCTTAAGTTTAAAATATTACAAAATTATGAGGTAAGTTGGTATTATGGCTAAGTGACTAAATACTAATTTGTGAGTTTAGCAATGTGAATGCTTTTGTTTTGGCAATATACATAGTTTCAGTATTGGAGTATCACAGGCCAACTTATGACTAGTTAAGATTCATTATTTTGAGATTGAGATTGATATTTCTGTTTATGGTCAAATGGGTGAGTGAGTGTAAGTGTTAACCACCAGGTGGTATTCGTGTAATTAGTTGACAGGGTGTATCAGGGAAATAAGATGTTTTCTGATGATGTTTTGAAGGTGATGAATGTGTCTGCAGTTTTAGAATTTTCAGGTAGGGTGTTCCAGATTTTAGGGCCTTTGACATACATTGAATTTTTGTAAAGGTTTAGTCGGACACGGGGAATGTCATAGAGATGTTTGTGTCTGGTATTGTGCCTGTGGGTTCTGTCGCAACTATCAAGAAAGCATTTTAGGTCAAGGTTAATATTGGAATTTAAGGTCCTGTAGATGTAGACTGCACAGTAGTAAGTGTGGATGTACTGAACAGGGAGTAAGTTTAGATCTATGAAGAGTGGGACCTAGCTCAACCATTTCCAATGACATGGACCATTGATGAAGCCGTGGTTATCATGGTCTCAAGTACATAGTTCGTTAGAGGGAAACTTGTGCAGTTTGGTTTCACGTTCCAGTGTGTCTCCTCTTACAAGTTTGCTTATTTCATTCAAACTCTACGAAGGAAAGGATTCTGAGTGTGGGGAAGAACTGACCATAGGTGACTGCTGTGCAAACTTAGACTAAGGGAACTGTTCCTCCAGGAAGTAAGGGATATATCAGTAACTTCACAGCCATTTGTAAGGAAAAGGTTAGAAATTCACCTCTCTCCAACATAAGAAAAAAAAAAAGTTTATGCAGATATTTTCAGAAACATGGAAAAGTCCATTGTAATTTGCCAGAGCAACAAGATTCACTAATGATATTCTTATTGTGCCCTAAGAAAATCTGACTCACTTGATACATTTACTGTGGTCTCAGAGAAGAGTATAGGTTGACATTGTGACTCTTGATATACTTACTGTGGCCTCAGAGAAGAATATAGGAGGACACTGTGATTTTTGATACACTTACTGTGGCCTCAGAGAAGAGTATGGGATGATACTGTGACTCACTCTTGATACACTTCTCATAAGAGTAGTCAAGAACTTTCTCAAAGGTGTCCCAGTCTTCTATCATTCCTTCCTTCATGTAGTCACCACCTCACAACCTAACAAGTAAACAACAAAATACTTTACAAATGACATACAAATTATAAAGCATATTATTATAACATTCATGAAGCACTAAACCAGTAGGGGTCATGCAGTTACCTGGAGAATAAGTAATTATTATTATTATTACTACTACTGCTTTTTAAACACTAGCCATTTACCAGCTGAGGCAGGATGGCCTGAAAAAGAAGAAAAATGTTCACCATCACTCATTCCATCACTGTCTTGGCGAAGGTGCACCAACACTACAGCTCGTATGCTCCTCTCTCTCACCTTCAGAGTGCAGGTACTGTATTTTTCACCTCCAGGACTCAAGTCCAGCTAACCAGTTTCAATGAATCCCTTAAAAAATGTTACCTTGCTCACACACTAACAGCACCTTTACCTTTAATGAGTTCCAAGAGTTTTTCTACTGTTGGAGCCCAGTCATGGGCTAGGCTCATCTGGTGTTTTCCTGGTCAACCAAGCTGTTGCTGCTAGAGGCCAACTGCCCCACATATCCATCACAGCCTGGTTGATCTGGCACCTAGTGAAGATACTTGTTTAGTTTCCTCTTGAAGATTTCTACACCTGTTTCAGCAGTGGTTCTGATATCTTCTGGTAAGATGTTGAATAGTCTGAAACAGTGTTTTCTTATTGTGCCCACTGCAACCCTGCTTTTCACTGGGTTTATTTTGCATTTCCTCCCATATCTCTTGCTCCAGTATGTTGTTATGGTAGTGTGCAGAGTTGGGACAAGGCCCTCAAGTACTTTCCAAGTACGTATAATATCTATCTATCTCTCTATCTATCTCTCTATCTCTCTCTCTATCTATCTATCTATCACTCTATCTCTCTCTCTCTCTCTCTCTCTCTCTCTCTCTCTCTCTCTCTCTCTCTCTCTCTCTCTCTCTCTCTGCTCCAGTGAGTACAGAAAGGCCCCGCTTTACGGCGTTTCACTTTACGGCGTTCCGCTAATACGGTCATTTCAAATTATGACCAAAACTCACTATACGGCTCCCCCCACCTGACTTTCTAATACGGTCACCGCGCCCCACCTTGTTTGTTTACATTCTTCGTGAGCTCAGTAAGCACTAAGTATCTCCATTTTATCTGGAAACTCCAAAATTTCAAATGTTTTTAAAAGTTATTTCATATTTTATATATACTCTGATAATTATACTTATGTATACCTGTACTTAAATAAACTTACATACTGTGCTGGCATGCAGGTACACATTAAAATCAGTAAGAGTGTCTTATGTCTCCAGACGTCATATTAGTAATGATAATAATAATCATCGAGTCTCATTTAAATGTCGTATATTACGTTAAATACACATTTTCATTAATCCATCTTTGATATTTTTTCAAAATTATATAATAAACACGAATACATAACATAAAAAGATGATAAATACACCCCACAATAGAATAAATAAACATAAATATCAGATGTGGTAGCAGACGACTTGCACAAGTGACGCCATATTAGAAATGCTAATAATAATAATAATAATCACCGAGTCTCATTAAATGTTGTATATTACGTTAATATACACATTTTCATTAATCCATCCATGATATTTTTTTCAAAATTATATAATAAACACGATATATAACATAAAAAGACGATAAATACACCCTACAATAGAATAAATAACATAAATATGAGATGTGGTAGCCAGATAACTTGTACAAGTGATGCCAAGAATAACATTTTCTCTAATCTAACATAAGTCGCTGTTTGTCAGGAGAGCTCTCATAGCAACAATATGGCGCTGAGTATCCGACGTAGGGTGAACACTGTCGGCGTTGAGCTGCTTCGTGGGGCGATTTCCCCCTCTACGGCGCAGGTGTTACTTCCGGCAATCATCAGGGAAACGTACGGAGTGCAGGATGATGAGGTTTATGGTGTGGCCCTGAATGGGGCCTATCGTCTATTCGTCAAGTTAAATTCGACGGCTGTGTACGAGTCGTTAGTGACGAAATTTGAGCATGTGAGTATTGATGTAACTCCAGCTGTCAAAGTGCGACTCATAGACGTCTCTCGCCACTATACGTGGGTGAAGTTGCGAAATGTCCCCTTCGAGGCTGACGAGGAGGACTTACGGAAGGTGTTTGCAGCTTATGGTACCGTGCATCTGGCAACCCAAGGCAAGTGGGCGGCAGGTGCGTACATGGGACTCCGGAGGTACATTCTCCCTCAAAATGACACTGAGGCACCCGATCCCGTCATACGTCGTGATGCCGGAGTTTAGGACCCAAATTCTAGTGGCGTATGCTGGGCAGCGACGGACATGCAGGTTGTGTGGGGAGTATGATCATATGGCGGTGACGTGTGGGAGGCAGTGGAGGGCGCCGGCGCAAACAGGTGGAGCACCAGTTACAGGTGTGGATGTCGTTGAGGAGAATTCCAAAGGAAACCGAGGAGATGGCCGTCTGTGGAGTGAAATTGTAGAAGAGTCTCTTGTGGTGCATGATGGGCGAGGCACGAGTTGTGTGGAGCCAAAAATGGCCACTTTGCCGGTGACGGGGGAGGAAGTGCTAATTCAGCAGGAGGTGCAAGAGCTGGAGGAGGAGCTCGACGAGGTATTGAAAACTTTACCTTCCTCGGCGAGGATAATGGCTTGGTCCGTGAAATGGTGCCTGAGTTGAAAGGAGAGTGTGGCGGGACAGGCACGAGAAGGAAGGGGGGACAACTGCAGGCACAGAGAGGAGTCACCGAGCTCTGTGCGACAGGTCACAGTAGAGGTTGAAGTTCACTGTGAGGAATCTTCGGAAAGACAGTATGGCGGTAGAGAGTGTCACGAGGAAGAGGGCGGCTGCGTCAGACTAGATGATGTCCTGACGCCCGGCAGGGGGTCTGGGAGGAAGGATGTATATTCTCGTGACAGCCAGGATAAGAGGCATCGAAAAAAGGGGGGGGGTGGATGGTGACAAACCACATGTTGACCCTGGGGCAAGAGGCCCTGGGAAGGGTGAGAGGAGAAAGGGTTGGAAGCTTTAGAAAGGCCTTAAGTGCATGACTGTGAATGTGAATGGACTGTGTACTGGTGTGAAGAGGGAATGCTTTCGTATGCTCTTACGTCGATACAGAGTGGACGTAGTCTTTCTACAGGAGCATAATTTCAGGGAGGGTAGAGTGCTCGAGGTGGAAGGGTATAGGGTGTTGACTCTGCCATCGGCACATTTGAAAGGTGGTGTGGGTTTATTGATAAAGGAGGCGAGCCCGTTTGTGTTGCAAAGACGTGAAGGGGGTTGGGGGGGGAGGGTGTTGCGTGTGATGGGTGGTGGATGGGGCAGAGGTAACCTTTGTAAGTGTGTATGCACCAGCTGAAAATGATATGAAAGTAAAGAGGGATTTTGTGTGTGATGATCTAGTTTTTGCTTTCCGTGGTTTACCTGAAGTGGCCATCGTAGGTGGGGACTGGAATTGTGTGATCAGGAGAGCGGATGTGGAACCACGAGGGGCGGGGCATATGTTGACAGCATTACGCAATCTTTTGGTGGACGTTCAGTTGAGGGATGTGGTAGGTGGGGGAGCGGGGGAGGTGGAGCATACTTTCGTGAGGCGAGGTTACGCAGCTAGGTTAGACAGGTTGTATATATCTCATAAGGTATTGTCAAAGTCTGTCCGTACTATTGAACTAGCTTTTTTCAGATCATAGGGCGGTTGTCGCAGAAGTAGAGTGGGATTCTCTAGCTTGTATCTCTAGGGGATATTGGAAATTAAATACGAGTCTGTTGGAAGATGAGGAGGGGTTGGGGGGTTTTACGGAGCTGTGGGAGAGATTAACTGAGGAGGTACAAGGTGTGGAGGACGTGGTGACGCGGTGGGATGGTGTGGCTAAGGACCGGATTCGGCATTATTATGTGAGGGAGGGGAAAAGGATTAATTCTTTAAAATTTGGGTTGATTAATTATTTGGAGGACAGGTTACGGGGTTGTTATGTAAGAGGGACAGTAGAGGGTGTCTATCCGATGGACAACATTATGATACTTAAAGAGCGGTTGCGGGAAATTCAGGACAAGCGGTTCCAAGCGGTGAGAGTAATGGCGGGGGTGGAGGAGGTGTTATGGGGAGATAGGCCGTCTTCGTGTGTGTTGCGCAGACAAAAACGTCAGCAGGCAACAGCTATTCCATGTTTGGAGGTTCTTGAGTCGGTGGGAGGGTATAGGGTGGGTCAGGTTATCCACACTACGGATGGGATGGGGTTGTTTGCGGATAAGTGGTACGAAAAGTATTGGCGGGAGGAAGGGGTAGGATTAGGGGATTTAGAGAGGGTGTGTGGAAGTGTGCCATGTAGGTTAGGACACAGTGATAGGGAAGCTTTGGGGGGGGACATAACTGAGGGGGAAATATGGAGAGCTTTGAGTGCCATGCGAAAGGACAAAGCACGGGAATCGATGGACTGCGCGGAGTTTTATCAACAGCATTGGGAGTTAATAAAAGGTTTTTTGGTGAGGTTACTGAACTTGATGAAGGTAAGGGGAAGGTTGGGTGAAAGACAGGCAACAGCTGTAGTTGTTTTGGTACCGAAGGGTAAGGAACAAACGTTCGCTCAGGGACTATAGAACAATAAACGTTGTTATGCGCGGATTATAAGTTATTTGCAAAAATTTTAGGAAATAGGATCAAGTGTGTTGTAGGGAGGGTTGTATCGGAAACCCAGTTTGGGTTGCCAGGTAGGTCTATGGGGGTAGGACATGGTCTTTTAAGGGATTTCGTGGAAGAAAAAGGGGGGGAAGGGGGGGGGGGTTTTGGTTGCACTAGACTGGCAAGGAGCTTATGATAGGGGGGAGCGAGAGGCGTTGAGAGCTATCCTTTGGAAACAGGGCTATGGGGAAGAAATAGTGGGATGGGTAGAGGCGTTATATAGAGGGGCAATGGTGAGAGTACAAATTAATGGAAGATTAGGGGGGAGGATTGTAATGGGCAGAGGTCTTAGACAGGGGTTCCTATGTCACAGCTTTTATTTGCATGCATACAGGACCCCTTTTATAGAATGGTGGAGCGCCATATGGGCATTAGTGAAGGGGTTGGGGGGGTACTGGGGGCGTTTGGCCTGTTCTCATAGGGTATGTAGATGATACCACTGTATTGGTTAGAGAGGGGATGTCCATAAACGCCTTAGATGGAGTGGTCGACACGTTTGCATGTGCAACTGGTATGAGGGTAAATTCGGAGAAGTCCATGGTTATGGGGTTAGGAACTTGGGGGGAGAGGGTCGAGTGGGGTAGTGCAGTCGTAAAGAAGCGGGTGATGTCATTAAAAATTTGTGGTCTAATCTATGCAGATGATCTTGAGGTTGCACGTGTTAATAATTCGGTCAGGTTGGTAGAAAGGATACTGGGTCGATTGGGAGCATTGCGGCCTTATCATTTGACCCTTGTGCAGCGTGCCATTGTAATTAACGTTTTATTGTATAGCAAGGTTTGGCATGTGGCTGCCGTGTTCCCTTTAACGGGGACGGCAATTGCAACTATACTTAGAGGGGTTTTTAAATTTTTGTGGGGTTCAGGTTGTGAAATTTGGCTTAGAAGGGATGTAGTAATGTTACCTGTGCGTCAGGGGGGTTGGGTTTAATGAACTTAAAGAGGAGGGTCAAATGTATCTTCATTAAAAGGGAGGTGATGGGGGGGGGGGGGGGGGGGGGGGGGGGTTGGTTAAGGTACACAATAAATTGAAACGCATGTTTTCTGGGACGGAGTTGAGGGAGTGTGAAACTATTTTTGAGGGCAGTGGTGATGGTTAGGGATCTGGGTAAGGTAAAAATAAGTAGGCTGTGTAGGATGTCGGCGAAAGGGTTGTGGCTCCGGTGGAGGGGATTTTCCCCATGTATACTGGGGATGTATATGGAGAAGGTTTGTAGGTTAAGGTTACAACCCCGTGGACGTGAGGGGATGTATCGGGTTTTTTTCATGGGATTTACCATCGGGAGTTGGTCTTACGAGCTAGACAGGGGGTTGAGGGGGGGGGGGGTATGTGGAATATGTGGCGGGGAGGATTCTGCATTCCATGTGAGGGGTTGGGAGCGTCAGGGGTTGGTTGAGCAGGGTGTTGCATAAGAAAGTGGTCAATACTTCTCTGTTCTGCGGGCATTGAGTCTTGATGTGGGGGTATGGATGAAAGTATTATTAGGGCTGTGGGGTACATTATGGTAGATTATGTCTACATTATGTGGGGAATGAGGGGAAAGGGGTAAGTGAGGTGAAGAGGAGGGTATTGGCTGTTACGTTTTATAAAACGTTGTGCCGTAATAGAGAACTTTATGGGAGGAGGTGGGAGCGGGATTTCTCTGAGGGATATAGAGACCTTACATTAGAGGTTTTATTAAATTTGTAAATTAGGTGGGTGGGGCAGGGTAGGGATGGTACAATGTGTGTATGTTGATGGGCTGTCAGGGGGGGAAACGGGGTCGCCTCCTGGTATGTAGCGGGTGAATGTGTATGAACTTGGGCATATGATGTGTATTCATGGTTTGTGACGAGTATACTCAATATATTGTGTTTGATGTTGCAGTGGGACATTGTTCTATGTATGTTATTCATATGCATGTTTTAGATGCTTGTAGAGGTGTCAGTGTGTTGGATCCTTGTTTATTAATATATTCTGTTTTTTATGAACATATTGTTTTTACCTTATTCTCAATACATTACGTTAATTGTATTTAACGTATAAGGTGTCCTACTTTATAATTTACAAAGTGACAATATATGCATATTATGGTGTGTTTTGTTAATCATATAACAATGCAATTGGAATTAGTTTGTTTATTGGTTATCATAGGTGTAGGGGTTTTCATGTATGGGTGAGGAGGGATATTTGTGTTATCTCAAGTTCATGTTTGTGTGGTTGTTAATGATTTATTCTGTGTAAGACCTGTTTTTGTCTTTATCTATCTCTTGTATTGTATTGTTCTAAATAAAATATAAAAAAAAAAAAAAAAAAAATCTAACATAAGAGAAAATGTGTTACTGGGGGTAACTGTAGAAAATTATTCCTTTCGTATGTATGTAGGTAAGTTTATTCAGGTATACACAAATACAGTTACACAGATTATCATACATAACAACATATGTGTAGAGAACCTAGCATAACCCAAAAAAGTCAGTGTGACTTATTTCCATTGCCTTCACTCAGAGCATCATTTCGTCTCAAAATGATGTTACATGAGAATGGGAGTTTTCTTCTTTATTAATTCTACCGTATCAATGTAGAGACAACCTGTACACAATGTAACTTGTACACAAACCAGAAGTGTACACTGTTTGTTTACAAAACTTACCTTCGCCTGGTTTGTTTACATAACTCTGCGCCTGTCCCCTCTCATGTACTCATTCTTTCTCTCTCTCTCTCATTTATTCGTTTTATCTCATTTACTTACTCCTGACCCTACATTAAGACTACAAATATTTTAAGGTAAGTAATGAGTGAACTGTATATACATTTTATCGCTCTGGGGTGCTTAAATATCATAGAATGTATGTGTGGGTGGGTTGGCCAGGTATGGTAGCCCGGCTGACTACCTTCCATACCACACTTGATTTTTTACAATAAATACTACTCATCTCACCCTATATTTTAAGGTAAGTAACGAGTGAACTGTATATACATTTTATCGCTCTGGGATGCTTAAATATCATAGAATAGTATGTGTGGGTGGGGTGGCCTGGTATGGTAGCCTGGCTGATTACCATACATACCACACTTGATTTCTTACAATAAATGCTACTTGTCTCACCCAAGATTAAGACTATAAATATTTTAAGGTAAGTAATGAGTGCACTATGTGTGTATTGTACTTTTTTATTGTTTTTTGATGCCTGGTTCTATTGCTAACTTAATATATGTTAGTGTAAACTTGTTATCTAGTGTTTGTATGCATTTATAAGTGGAAAAAAAGGGTGTTCCACTTTACGGCGGTTTCCGCTTTACGGCGGTAGCCTGGAACCTAACCTGCCGTATAAGTGAGGCCCTGCTGTACATATTTAAGACTAAGGTGTTCCCTGTAATTTAAATGCTTTACTGGCTTTATGCAGGCCATAAACAACCTCTGTTTTTGCTCCAGCTATATTTCCTAGCCCTGAATGGGGCCGGCAATACTGAGCAATATTTCAAATGAGAAAACACGAGTGATTTGAAAAGTACAGTAGTTCCCCCAAATTTGTGGGGGCTACGTTCCAAGACCACCCGAGAATTTGGAAAACTGTGAATTCTGGACGCCATTAAAAAAATGTCTATAAATGCCTATTTTTATAGTTTAAACCCTAAATATGCCCCCAAAACTCTTTAATTTAATTTCAAACATTACCCTTAAAAAAAAAATTTAAAGATAAACCCATATACAGTACTGTACAGTGGAACTCCGGTTTTTGCACTTAATCCGTTCCAGAAGGTCGGTTTAAATCTGAAATGAAGGCCGGCTGACATAATTATTCTCAAGACTTTCATGTGTTCCTTTCATTCTATTGATGATCCTCTTGAGTTTTGTATACAGTGTTCCTTTTGAGTATTTCATTCTTTCCATACCTAAGAAGCAGGAGCTTATTAGCACTGAACATCATGTTCTTCTCCACAGCCCACTAGAAAATACTGCTAATATCTTCCTGTAATTTTTTCATTGTCTTCTACCAAAGTGACTTTTCATGTGACTGGAACAATACACAAATAACTCGCACATAGCAGAAAGAAACTATGATGACATTTCAGCCCAACTTAGACCATAACCTAGTCACATTTGTTTAATGATTAGTAACTATTTAATGGTCTAAGTCGGGCCAAGTTGTCATAAAGTTTCTTTCTCCTATGTGAGGTTATTTGTGTATTCCAATAACAATCCCAACCTTCTTCAAATAGAAGACATTGTATCAAATGTTTGATGTCAATCAGAGTAGACTCTCCCTTCATCACACACTAACTAAAAACTGGACAAGCCAAATATAAAATTTATCTAAGGGCATATGCTTATGACAACAGTCTCATGAACCTGTCCTTAGTTACAGTACACCAACAATAAAAAGTTTATGTGATTACATGAGCATTCCCATGTCATACATGAAAAACTCTACAGGAATAAAAAAAAAAAATCAGTCAAGCAGTTGAAGATACTTCTTGAGTACAGCTGGACCCCCATACCCACAGTTTACCGTAGCTCAAATATAAGCCTTAATTTTGCTTAATAATAGCACAGTAGTGCAAAAGTAGTGTTGATGGCAGCTCTTCAAAGCCTAAGAGAAGCCAAGAAGTGCTTCCCATCAGTGATAATTCTTGACTTATTGTGTATAATTTATCAATTAAATTTATAATAGGTACGTATGTAAACAAAAAATGATTTATACATTGGGATAGCTACTATTCGCAGTTTCGGTATCCGTGGCAGGTCCTTGAAATGTATCCCCCATGGATACGGGGGTCCTACTGTACTGCACTGATGGCAATACAATAAACTATTATAATACCTTTGCGAGGAACATGGAGAGCTACAGTATCTACAAAATACTTCTTTTCGTTGGTCTCTGGGTCCTCAACAATCCCTACCCATGAGGGAATATCAAATTTTGGTGAATCTTCACCAGCATATCCAACACGCAATGAGGAATGACCAGGATCAAACACCAATGCGCCCACTTCATCTGCAACATACAAACAAAATCACATATGCAATGTCAACATTTCAATATACAAAATACTTTTAAAAAGATTATTATATACATAAAAAATTTTACTATCTACTAGCATCCACATTATTAAAAAGGACAAACAAATTTTAATATCAAACTTGTTTGAAAATCTTTTTTTATAACTGCAACATAATTTTAAAATAATCCAGATAATAAACCTGTAGATATTTTATGTGGCCTAGTGGCCATGGCCCTGGTAGCAAAGCTCTCGCCTTTACACAATGAGGGTCCGGGGGAGATTCCTGGCAAAGGTAAAGCATTGGCGTGTTTCCCCTTTCGCCATTGTCATGTTTACCCTCAGTAAAAATGGGTATCTGGGGGTTAGTCGACGGTGTGGGTCCATTCTGGGGCAAAACCAACTTAGTAGTAGTACAGTAGTGTATAGTAGTAAAAATAGAAAACAGTAGCAGTATGCAGAAATATAGTAGTAGAGTAGCATAGTATATAGTTTATAGCGTAGTACAGTAGTAGCATGCAGATATATAGTATAGTAGTAGTAGGGAGCAGTAGTAGTATGAGCAGTATAGTAGAGTAGATACATAGTAGTAGTATAGTGCTTGTAAGTAGTAGTAGTAGCATAGGTAGTATAGCAGTAGTATATAGCAGCAGTAGTAAGCGTAGAACAGCAGCAGTGCAGCAGTAAATAGTACAGTAGTAGCAAAAAGTAGTAGAGAGCGTAGTATAGTAGTATATATAGTAACAAAAAGTAGTACAGTAGTAGTTAGTAGTATATGTAGTAGTATTTTCTTAGTAGTAGCAGTAAGTAGAGTCAGCAGTAGTATAGTGTACAGTAGTAGTAGCAGACGTAGTAGTACAGTAGTATAGTTAGGGAGTTATATTTGCACTAGTATACGTAGTACAGTAGTAGTAGTTTAAAATAGTATAGTAGTAGCAGTTTGAAGTAGTAGTAGTAGTTGTATAGTATAGTAGTATAGTAGAGTGTGAGCAGGTAGTAGCAGCAGCATGAGTAGTAGTACAAATATAGTAGCACAGTAGTAGTAGCACAGTAGTAAGTAGTAGTGTATTGCAGTAGTTATAGCCGCAGTATGTAGTAGTATTGTAGTAGTAGTGTAGTGTGTAGTTTTATAGTAGTAGCAGTAGAGCGTAGTAGTATAGTAGTAGTAGTGTAGCGCAAAGTAGTAGTAGTAGAGCAGTATAGTAGTATTTTAGTATAGTAACAGTAGTTTAAGTAGTAGTATTAGCAGCAGTAGTAGCTATTTAGTAGTAGCAGCAGTAGCATAGTAGAGCAGTATATAGTAGTAGTAGTGTATAGCGCAGTATTTAGTAAGTAGTAAATATATGTAGTAGTAGAGCAGAGCAGCAGCGCAGCACAGAGAGCAGTAGTAGCATAGTAGTAGTACAGTAGAGTAGTGTAATATGTATATAGCGAGCAGTATAGTAGTACAGTAAAGTAGCAGTATAGTAGTACAGTAGAGTGTAAAACAGTAGTAAGTGCATAGTATAGTGTAGGTAGTCAGTAGTACAGAGTAGTGGAGTAGTATGTACGTTAGTGCAGTAGCAGGTAGGGAGCAGTAGTAGTATATACAGTATACGAAGTATAATAGTAGCGCAGATGTAAGCAGTAGTAGAGTAGTAGTAGTAGTAGTAGTAGGCAGCAGTAGTAGTAGTACTAGTAGTGTAGTAGTAGAGTAGTGTAGTAGTAGTATATAGCACAGTAGTAGTAGCAGCATAGTAGTAGTAGCAGTAGTTAGTAGCAGTAGTAGTAGCAGTGTAGTACATTAGAGTAGTAGTAGTAGTAAACAGCAGTAGTAGTAGCGCAGTTAGTAGCAGCAGTAGTAGTAGTAGCAGCATAGTAGCAGCATATGTAGAGTAGTAGTTGTAGCGCACACAGTAGTGTAGCAGTAGTAGTAAGCAGTAGTAGTACAGTAAGTTAAACAGCAGTAGTAGTAGCAGTAGTAGCATAGTAGCATAGTGTTTGTGGCAGTAAATACAGTAGTAGTACATTTTAGTATAGTAGAGTAGCCTTTTTAGTAGCAGCAGTAGTAGTATAGCAGTAGTCTAGTATAGTAGCAGATAGTACAGTTAAAAGGGATTTGTAGAGTATAGTATTGTAGCATATATAGTACACAGTAAGTAGCGCAGTATGTGCAGATACATAATATATAGTAGCAGCAGATAGTGCATAGAGCAGTGTAGTAGCATATACAGCAGTAGTAGCCAGTAGTTTAGATATTGTAGTAGCAGCAGTAGTAGCGCAGTAGGAGTAGTAGCGTAGTAGTAGAAGTAGATGTAGCAGTAGTAGAGCAGTATATAGCAGGTAGTAGTGTAGTGTATAGTATAGCGTATAGTAGCATAGAGTGTAGCATAGTAGTAGTAGAGTATAGTACAGTAGTATAGAGCAGTATATAGCAAGTAGAAAATAGCAGGTAGTGTAGCACAGTAGAGGTACACAGGTATAGTAGTTGTAGAAGAGCGTAGTAGTAGCAGTAGAGTATAGCAGCAGCAGCGCAGTAGTAGTAGCAGCAGTAATAGCACAGTAGTAAAGGGATAGTATAGTACACGTAGTATCAGTAGTAGCGTTTGGCAGTAGTAGTAGGCAGCAGTTAGCAGCAGTATAGAGCATAGTAGTAGTAGAGTTTGCAGCATTAGTATTGCAGCAGTAGTAAAAGCGTAGTACATAGTAGTGTAGCAATAGTAGCAGATAGTAGCATAGTAGTAGTAGTAGCTAGTAGTAGAGCAGCAGTAGTATAGCAGCGTAATATACTAAGCAGTTATAGTAGTAGCAGCATATAGTAAAAATAGCAGTAGTAGACAGTAGTAGCGCAGTGTACAGCAGTAGTAGTAGTAGCATAGTAGAGTAGCAGCTTTGTAGCAGCAGTAGTATAAGGAGTATAGTAGCAGTAGTAGAGCATAGTATAGTAGTAGAAATAGGAATAGTGCAGTATATACAGCAAATAGTAGAGCACTATACAGTAGTAGTACAGTAGAGTAGTAGTAGCAGTTGTACATAGTGTGCATAGTCACGTATAGTAGAGCAATTTGTAAGTAGAGTAGTAGTGCAGTAGTATAGTAGTATTTTGCAGTTAGTATAGTAGCATATATATAGCAGTATAGTAGAGTAGTATAGCGTTATTGTAGTGTGTAGTAGCAGCAGTAGATTAGCGCAGTAGTGCATAGTAGTGCAGTAGTAGTAGTAAGCAGTATAGACACAGTATATAGTAGTAGTATATACAGCAGTACAGTGTAGTAGCAGCGTAGTGTAGTCAGTAGTAGTATAGTAGAGTTTAGATATCAGTAGTGTAGTAGCAGCAGTAGTATAGTAGCACAGTAGCAGTATAGCAGTAGTAGTAGTAGAGCAGTTACATCTGTAGCAATACTAGAGTATGCATTAGGTATACATACGAGTGTATAGCAGTATGCAGCATAGTACAGTATATAAATAGTAGTATAGTAGTAGTAGTATAGTACAGTAGTAGTAGTAGTGCACAGTAGCAGTAGTGTAGCAGCAGTAGTAGTATAGTAGTAGTAGTAGCTTTGTATAGTGAAAACAAGCAGTGTAGAGTAGTATAGAGCTATAGAGTGCTGTAGCAGTAGTAGTAGTAGCAGTAGTACACAGTAGACAGTGTAGCGTATAGTCATTAGCAGTAGTTGGCAGTAGTGCAGTAGAGCAGTAGTAGAGTAGTTAGAGTACAGTAGCAGTAGTATGTAGTAGTAGTAGTAGTTAGGGAGTAGCAGTAGAGTAGTAGCGTAGTATATAGCATAGTAGTATAGTAGTAGCATAGTAGTAGTAAGTTTTGAGTAGCAGCCAGTAGTAGTAGTAGTAGTAGTATATAGTATTGTAGTAGAGCATATAGAGTAAGTAGAGTACAGTATTAGAGTAAAAGGGAGTATATGTATAGTAGTAGTACAGTATAGTGTAGTAGTAGCAGAGCAGTATAAATAGTATAGTAGCAGAGTAGTAGTATAGTATAGTAGTGTTGCAGCAGTGTAGTATAAAGGGACACAGTAGTGAGTATAGCATAGTAGCAGTAGTATGAGTAGTAGTAGTGTAGTATGTTGTAGTAGCAGCAGTAGTATATAGTATAGCAGTAGTGTATAGTAGATAGCAGTATTTTGTACGTATATAGTATAGTAGTATAGTAGTAGCAGTAGGTTTGATTAGCAGCAGGATAGAGTAGTAGTAGTAAAATTTTGTAGCAGTAGTAGTAAATAGTATTAGTAGTAAGTGTAGTAGTATATAAAATAGGTAGTAGTAGTAGCAAATAGTAGCAGTAGTGTAAGTAGTAGATAGTAGTAGCAGTATTAGTAGTTTTAAAAATAGTATATAGTATGGCAGTATAGTTGTATTTTAAAAGAGTGAAGTAGGAGTATAGTGTAGTATGAGATGAGTAGTAGTAGTAAATATAGTATAGTAAAATAGTAGATAGAAAATAGTGTGTAGTATAGTAGTGCAATAGTAGTAGTAGTAGCAGTAGTAGTAGTAATGTAGCTATAGTGTTAGTAAGTAGTAGTAGTTTGTATAGTAGTAGAGAGGGTTTAGTTTTGTAGTAGAGAGTAAATATAGTAGTAGTATTTGAGTATTGTAGTAGTAAGTGAGTATAGTAGTATAGTAATTTGTAGTAGTGAGTAGTAGTAGTAGTAAAATAGTAGTAGTATTAGTAGTAGAAATAGTAGTAGTAGTATTTGGTAGTAGAGTAGTAGTAAAAATTGTAGTGGGGTAGTAGCAGCAGTAATACTAGAATAACTGACTACCTCCCCCAAAAACACCGCCACTCATCCTGACCTGATTCCTCTTTTTTCTACGACCACGTCGTCTTGTTGCGCTCCCTTTTTGTTAGTGAGACCAGGTCTTAGTTACACTGCAGCTGTGTTACACCCCTACAGCCACTAACACCACCACCACTAACAACACCACTAACAACAACACTAACAACAAACTCACTAAAAAAAACCCTATAACAACAACACCACCGCCAGTGTGTTGTTTGGGT